TTTTTTAAAAAGTTTAAAAAAATATATAGGGCTGGGGATTTAGCTCAGTGGTTTCGCTGCCTGCTGCGCAAGCAAGCGCAAGGGCCCGAGTTCAATCTCTGGTACCAAAAAAAAAAAGGTTTCAAAAAATTTTGTCCTATGACTTTGGAGTGAAGACAGGAGAACAAACATTCAGGCCATAGCACTCAGTTTACTGAATCTGTAGGGTTATATGGTTTGGTGACTTTGGAAGGTTTTTGGCATTATTTGAGTGGCAAGAATGTTAACTTTTTGTTCTTTGATCTATAGGCCCTTGCTATTCCTATTTCCAACTCTCTGTTGTTCAGAATGGGTAATTTCTATCTTCTGGCTCTCGTTCTTTCGTTTCTCTTCTCTTATGCTGCTCAGCCCATCCACTGAGCTTTCAAAATTTTAGTTACTTTTTTTGTTTTTAATACTGGGGATCGAACTCAGGACCTCGCGCTTGCCAGGCATCCCCAGCCCTTAGTTACAAAATGTCTGATTCTTCCTTATAGCTTCTATTTCTTTTCTGAGGCTTTGCATTTTTCATTTGTTTTATTACTGATTCCCGAAACATGTACCATGCTTGCTGTAAATTCTGTCAGATAATTTTAATATTTCTGTCATCATATTTGCATCTACTGATTATCCCTTTTCACATTAGTGGAGGAAAGGGAGCTACTGCCTAGTTACTTTCAGGTGGGAAGTCCAGATTCACTATTGGCCTGCATTTAAAACAAGGTCCAGACTTCTTGGTCCTGGTGTGGGTGGCAGGGCAGAGCATTCTCACTTTCTTCTAGGCCTCCACCAATAGCTCCCTGGCCAGGAAAAGTAGTGCCTCTTTACTGTTCCCCATCTGGGCCTCACTGACACCTCAGTGCTATGTGGCCTCACTGCTGCCGTGTAGTCGTGAGGGGGAGGATGCTTTATTACTGCCCAATGGGAATGGATGTACAAGCTGTCCATGTTGCCACCACTAGGGAGAAGGACTCATTACCATTTGGATGAAACTCCTAGCTTCCTACTCAATCTCCTCTGATATCATCATGGCGGTGGTGGAGCCTGAGGAGTCTAAGCCAGGCAAAAGCTGAACTGGGGCTTTCTGTGTGGCCTTTGCTCACGTGAGTGGTGGTGGGGCCACAGCTTTTTCTATGGTGTAGGTCTACAGTAGACCAATTATCGTCTAATACTTTCTCTTTTGGAGATGGAGATGTGCATAGCTCAGTGGTAGAGCACCTGCCTAGCATATGCAAGGCCATGGGTTCAATTACCAGCACTGGGAAAAAAAAAAGGTATTTGTCTTGCTAGGTTGTCCATATTCTGATTCTTTGTCTAGTGAAAGCAGGATTTTGTTGGGGCTTTTATTTGATCGGTAGTTGTTGGCATTTCTAGATTGGTAGCTTACGTTCCAGGTTTGGGACAAATAACACATAAAAATAAAGTCCAGGGAACTCACTATCATTAAGTAACTTGGTTTCAAGGTTCCCAGCTGGTCTGTTCTTCTCCTTCCACCTTCCAGAGTTTTCTTGTTTGTTTTTTGTATTTATACAGGGTACTGAGATATACTCAGTGGAGAAAAAGGAAGCATGTCTACTCCATCTTCCCCCAAGTGCACATCCCTTATTTACTTTAATGGGTTCATTTTGATGACAATTAAAAAAAAGTCATCCAGTTTTATCATACTTTGTAAAAGGAAAGACTTCCAGAAGTGTAAAACATGCCACACAAGCTATGGAATTTCTTTACTCTTACCTTGTTCCCTACCATTTGCACAGATGTGAAGATTGACATATGCACAAGCAGGACCAGGAGTGGACAACCAACTGCACCGATAGTGCTCTTCTGCCCATGCTATGGTGGGAAGGGTACATGTCATTCCTTAGCACCATCAGCCCCTCGTGAATGGTGAGACAGAATGACCTAGAACCCACTTACAAAGCTCTAAACTGGGACACAGCATA